GCATCAAAATAATTTCAAATGATCAACTTGTGTTGATCTCATCCCATATATGCAGCCTTCAGGGGTTCAGGCCCTAAGGGGGGGCATGTCATGACCATGTGTTCATCCTAAGTCCTCACTCACTCTGCACCCCTTTTCACCAGTCATTCACTCACTCCACACCAACTCCTGTCAGACTTGTACTGCTCTCCTACTGGACTGTGTGGACTGTTCTCTGAGGAGTCATGTGACTACCCTTCAGACTTCTCCCTGACAGCACACAGTCAGGTACTCTGCAGTGCACACACTGCATGGTCCAGTGCCTGGACTGTTCCTTTTTTGGATGTCCTATGTTACCTGTTTGTATGTCCTTTGTCTACCCTTCATTTGTCATCTAGGAAGTTTTACTTGAAAATTTATGAGTCTCCATATGTCAGTTCCAATTCTGGTTACTGTACCTCCATAGTAGTATAAAAGCATGTATTGTACTCCAATGTTCTTCAGTACAAATATCAACTTAGTTCCTACTCCCTCTGTCTCTGTCTTCTGCCTGTCAGAGTTACCTCTGACTTTCCATCTGTGCTCTCCCTCTGAAACACAAGGGCTGAGATTGTGCAAGGGGGTAGCACAAGGGCTAAACCCAATGCCCTCACTCTGCTCTGCCTCTGTCTCAGTGGACTTCATTCCTGCCAACACTCCACCAGTCAGATTCCTGCTCTCCTGTGTCAGACTTGCTTCCAAACCTCTCCCCAGACCTCATCTAGCATTGGAGTTGGTCAGAGTAGGCCCAGACTTGATGGTTGGTATTTACATATACATAGTACTTGCATGAAATCATATACCTATGCACCATCTGATAGGAGTGCTTATGCTGCACCAATAAGTAACTGATGCTCCCTATTATAACCAGTTGGCTGAGTAGGGCCAAAACTTCCAGTGTGGTGAAGCCTCTGAATGCCAACAGTAAGTGCATCAATGAGAGCCTCCAGTGGCACACCTTCCACCAGACCAACACCTGTCACCAGCAATTTCAGCAGCTCCATAGTTTCCTGAAGCTGTTCAAGGCCAGAAAATGTCCCAGCCAAATATCATGCAGCAGCTGTGCAATAACTGAAAACATCCTTGAGTGCTTGCATCTGGCTGTCTAATCTCAAGATGTGCCACCTGTTCAGACCCACCACTGTAAGGATGTCAGTAAGTACATCTGACTTCTCGACCATCAAAACACTAGCCTCCATTGCCACCAGGTCATGAACAACCTCTAAATGGGACTCAATGCTATCCAAATAGCCTTGGATCTCAACCACATGCCAGATAAGTAGGGACAATGAATGCTGAAACTGACACAGGATACAATTGATTGCCTGCATGATGTGAAAATTTGAAGAAGAGCACTCATCAGAATGCAAGCTATTGCCAATACCATGACAATTTGCTGCTTTGATGGACAAAGGAGAGATCCAGTTCTGAAGCAAGTTAAGCAAATGATTGTTGACTGTCAAAATGCTTTCCATGCTCATCAGTGAGTGAACTTCTGAGAGTAGCATATGGGAAGAAACATACATGTCCACTGTGCCATGTACCTGTGCTGGAAGTTTCTGAAGGTTCTGAGATGCCTCCTTTGTGTCTGTTGATATGGCAGCAAGTTCCTCTGCAAGTGGTGTGGAAGAGCTCAAGGAACTTGCTCTCATGGTGCTAGCAAGATTGCTGACCAATAGACAGGATTCTGTCAATGCTGAGATGAGCAGAGTAACCTCAGACACATCATACAACAACCCCTACAATGCTGAAAACTGTGTTTGAATGGTGGATGAGAACAGGGTTGTGGAATTGCCAGCTGGCACAAGGAATGGACAGAGCAAGTCAGGCAGTAAACCTAACCTGCAGGTCATGCTAGTGATGGGTTGGACCATCTTCTGAACTTGGGCAGCAATGGATGACAGGATGATGCCCAAGGCTAGGTGTCTGAGTGGAAGGAACAACAGGAAGGATGCAAATAAAAGTATCGCACAATACATGAGACACATGGCCTGGCTGATAGAGGTGAAGTTCACTCTGGTGTAATGCTGGGTGGAGGTGTACATTTATCTTGAAGAAGACAAAGAACCAGAGATGCCACATTCCAGGTGTCACTAGGGAGAAACCATAAGTAATTTTGATGGGGCCATAAACTCATACTTTGTTGTGGACCTGCTGGGGGGACACCTGGCAGATCACAGAAATGTGCCCTTTGGTATTGTCATCATCACAAAGCCTGAAATGCATGAGGTAATTAGGTTCTACACAAATGTTGGACAAATGGAGCCTATAATCATTCCCAATACTAGGACATTTAGTCCTTGATGAGTTTTCCAGACCTGGAAAAGGAGGTGAGCAAACCAAATAACAATTTGCGATTTGTTGGAGGTCATGTGCAAGCAAGACAGCCAGAAAACAGGCCAGATAATTGGTCAAGGATTGTTAGAGGACCATTGCATGGGAACCCTGAGTATGATGAAACTATCCCAGTGATTGCCTTTATTGGATGTTTCAAGGTCATAATACAATCATGTCATCTGTTGTTTGTCATTTGGCCACTTTGCTTCCTGAATCATGACCACATATACAGCAAATGATGCACAACATCAGGGGATTCTCCAGTAGGTTATAATATATATATATAAGCAATGAATTTAGCAAGCAGGCCTTTGTGCATGGAGATAGCACACAAAGACAGCATCGTATCCTCAGTTTGCAAGAGACCTCATTCCATCAAAAGGGAGTTTCTGAATTCCCAAATGTCTGGTTACAAGACTATGTCATGTCTCATCATGCCAAACTTCTGTGTCACTGAGCTGGTATCAGGCTATAAAAGTGTTTGGTGGTGCTCAGAAATGATAGGGGTGAAGCTTCAGCATCATGCATCATGGCAGCTTCCCACCATATACATATGTGTAATAAATGTTGCAAAACTGATCTTGCAGTAGTGGCTGGCAGGACAATTTTATGTTTGATCCTCAGATTTGTTGGACTGTATCACCTTTGATTCCAGGATACATAAGCAAGTCCTGGTCTGTGAAGACTTTTGTAATGCTCTCCCATTCCAGACTGCTGGTTCTGAGCATGTCTGGAGGTAATGATTGGCAATGCATTCACACAAGTAAGATTTACAGTGGTTTCTCTTCATTTTCAAAATGTTTAGTTTTCTTTCAATGTGGGATCATTAGTGGCTGGGATTGTTCTTTCAGTTTTTGTTGAAGCAAGATATGATAAGGTGATTTTCACTGTTTTCTGTAGTTTAATTCTGAGATTTTATGTAACTCCTGGTGGTTTCTTGGAGCAATACAGGGTATATCCAGGGTTTCCAACAAGCTGTCAATTCTTACATAAACAGAAAAGTTGCAGCCAGTTACTGCAAGTACCATTTCATAGGCACTTCAGTCAACCACCTTTGGAGACCTATTAGGTCTACATATTTTTACAGATGTATATACCTATGAGGTCTTAATAGGTCAGGTATCCCCAACCACTGGTGGGGAAAGTTTTTTCTCCAGCACCATGCCTGGGGATTCTCCAGGCCCCCTTTGGATTTCTCCACAATTAATATATGTCTCCCCAAATATGTCAGAGTGACTGGGGTCCATATGGGCCTTTCTCCAGCTGAAATAGGGTATCCATTGGACTTTCTCCATGCCAATAAGGACCCAAATGTGGGTTTCCCCAGCTGAAATAGGACCTCCATTGACATTCTCCATGCCAAAAAGGACCCAAATGGGGGTTTCTCCAGCTGAAATAGGACCTCCATGGGACTTTCTCCATGCAAAAATAGACCAGAATGAGAGTTTCTCCAGCTGAAATAGGGCCTCAATGGGCCTTTCTCCATGCAAAAAAAGACCCAAATAGTGCTTTCTCCAGCTTAAATAGGGCACCAAAAAGGACCCAGTTGGTGCTTTCTCCAGTGTCTCCATGGGACTTTTCCCATACCAAAAAGAACCCAAATGAGGCTTTTACCAAATAGGTTGGGAGATTCTCCAAACAGGTATGGGGAATCTCCAAGCAAGTGTGGAGAATCTCCAAGTGAGTTGGGAGAATCTCCAAGCAAGTGTGGGGAATCCCCAAGTAGGTGTAGGAATCTCCAAGTGGGTATGGGGAGTCTCCATCTAACTGTGGAGAAGTGACATTTAGTGTAAACAATTGTGTTTTTCCAAGTATTTTGTGTTTTTCTCATGCAAAATTCCACTTTCTGATAAGATAAGCATATGGTCATGATTGTACAATCAGGAGCTACAACTTTTATTATGATGACATCACTCCATTTATACTTCCTGGGGTGGTAATGTGGTACCAGTACTGGCTATAGTAGTTATTAGTGTTGTGTAGTGTAGGCTATGCTACACTTTGGTAGTGCGCATTTTTGACTACCATTGACTACAAAAAGTGTAGCATTGAGTGGTAGTGGTCAAGTCACATGACAAAAGATCACATGATGCAAGGTCATGTGCAGCAATCACGTGACCAGGGAGGACTGTCACATGATCTTATTAGTTACATGTAGGCATGAACTCAGTGTCACATGACATCACGTGACTGTACTCACTCCATGTTCAACACTGTAAACCTGGCATGTGACCAAACCACCTCTGAATGCATGCTGTTCCAGAGTGTGGCTGTGCTACAACATCAATCATGTTACTAGTCATTCATTCCTCAATGGAATGGTCTGTATTTCAGTAGGTGAACTGGTCTACATAGTACCTATATCATGTCCAAAGATGTCCAAAGATCAACCTATCAAAATCTCTGATTGCTGGGATATAACAGGATTGAAAACAGCCAGAAAACACCCCACCATGCATCCCTTACTGGGTGCATATGCATCCAAAGGATGCTGGCAGAAAAGCCTGGTTGATGGATGGAAAGGGGTACATGGTTGCATCAAAGCCATACAAGGAATATTTGAGTGGCACTAAAAATGTGGTTGAAGTGGGTGATGTGTAGGAATGTATTACCTGATGGACTGATCACACTACAAGATCTTGGATTGCAGCAATCATCAGGCAGTGAATCAAGCAAATGCCAACTGGCAGCAGCTTGCATCTACAGGAATAGGTGGATGTCCTTGTGTGTGGCATGGCTGTTTTGTGCCACATGCAATGGTTGACTTCCAGAAGGGCAAACAGTATGAATAACCCTGTAACAATGTATGCCAATATTGACATCAGCATCACAGGCAGGTTAACATGGACTATGTACTTGTGCGTGGCACAGTGCCTGGCCAGCAAATGATACATTTTTATGATATTAACTGCCAGTATTGCAAAGGCTTAGCACAATGGCTACATACCAATGCCTATATATCCATGCTGGATGGCATGCAGATCTGCCCTGGCATTGGGTTGTGGCATGTTCATGGCTACTGCACAGAATGCTTTGCACAATATGCTCCCAATTGCATTGTAGGTGCTGGCCAGGTGATTGCTAACTGGTCAGCACCTCTCCATCACAACCCACAATCCCATGCTGACTGGTATGACATGCTCAATAGTGTCAGCAATTAGTCTGAATGTGTTCTTGACATTCCCTCTCTTGGTCTTCAATTTGATTACCAGCCTGACACCATTGTAGCCTTTTCTGGCTGGCTTTTGTGGCATGGTGTGAATGAAGTGTGGCATTCTACATGTGGGACAATATTCACAACTGGCTTGGAGTCCTTCAAAGTGATTGGATGTGCATTCTGTTGGTGTGGCAGGCTCTCTCCAGCATGTAAATCACCCATGGCACATTGTATTGTATTGTATTGGTCATTATTTAATGCCCAGGGCATCCAGTATTGATTGGTACACTCCCAGTTTGAATGAAATCTATGAAATAAATACAATATTACTAGCCACCCCTCTGTGATCATATGAAGTATAGGTTATGATCTTACCCTGGTGGTAAGATATGCAGTAGACAACAATTCATGCTATGCTGCATGTCCAGTATCTATAGTAGCCTAGCTGTCTGTTGCCAAATACAGAACCATCCATGCTGGATGCCAAGTACTGACATGAATCCTACTCAATCCTGATGTGTGCCATGGTATGTTGGGCCAATGCCAATGCCACTGGCTGCCAAGAACTGCTGGTCTATTCCTCTGCATCTAACTGTGTGCTGCCATATGCAGAATCATCCATGCCACACACCAAGCCTTGACATGGATCCTAAGCCATGTCATATCCATGACTCTCAGACTCAATCCCAGTCCAGTCTGGACCCCTAGCCCCTAACTCCAGTCAAGTCTGGTCCTAGTCCAGCCTAGAAAACCTAACTCCAGCCTAGAAAACACAACTCCAGTCCTAGATAACCCAACTCAGGCCTAAATAACTCAAGTCTGGTGTTTTACCCCTATCTCTGGTCCATTGCAGCCTCCTGGCCTTGTGCTGCTCCACCCTGTTCCTCCCAGGTCCATGTCCTGGTCACCCAGACATAACTCCAGTCTGCTTTCCTTTGTTTGTACTATATTTAGCTTGGTCTGTTCACCTGACTCTGCTTACTATACAAATCCTGTGTCTGACTCTGGTTATGCCAGTCACCTGGGCTTTGGCTATTAGCCTTTGCACAGCCACTGTGGCTGTCCTCACCTTGCTAATCATCTCACTAATACAGTGGCTCACAAAATTGTCCCAATGTTTGCATGTTGTTCATTAATCATGGTGTAGTGAGTGAACTATCATTATTGGTTCCAAGGTCTTGGTGGATGGATCAAAGCAGCTGGTCATGGCTCTCTGATGAGCCATATTACATAATATTTGGATAGACACTGATGACAAAATACCCAAATGAAAATGAGAGCTCATTGGGACAATTATGTAACTTTGTGATATGCTGGGGATGTAGTCCTTGGGAACACATATAAAAGATGGTGAGATGCTCACCAATGCTTACATAATGTATCACATGGTCTACTGAATGATTTGTCAACAAACAAACAATGCCAAACAGTGATTTTGCACTACTAAGCCTCCTTGTTGTAACACAAGTCAAGAAATCACCATTCTGGCTCATCAAGGACATTCTCTCAGGGCAACCTCAGCAAATTCTGGTGTACACTATAGTATAATCAATATAATATGCCATCAGCACCATTGTTCAATTCAGAAACCTGCTGGCAGTTATCTCCTGCACTGTTTCCCCACCAATGCCACATGTGTCCTGGAACTAATCAGTACTGTGAGAGCTGAGAATGATGTGGAGGTCCAATCTGCCATTCATCCCATCACAAACAAACCAATCACCCACTAACTACTACATCACAGCTCAAGAAAAGCCTGCCTGAAGGCTCAGGTGAAGCACAGCCCTCCTGGGCACTTCCAGTATCATAGGAGGGTTGGCCAGACTGTACTCTGAGCTGAACTGGGGATCACTGGGAAGGAGTTATTTGGTCATATAAGACTAAAGGAAATATCCATTGCCAGATAGAAGGCCAGGAATGTGCAACCTGGTGGCTCAGTAGCATATCACTCCCCATGGTACCTGGAGTGAGAGAGGGTGTAGCTTCACCCTGACCTCCATACCAGTTTCCCCTTCACAGAAATGCACTAGTTAATGGGTGATTGGTTTGTTTGTGATGGGATGAATGGCAGATTGGACCTCCACATCATTCTCAGCTCTCACAGTACTGATTAGTTCCAGGACACATGTGGCATTGGTGGGGAAACAGTGCAGGAGATAACTGCCAGCAGGTTTCTGAATTGAACAATGGTGCTGATGGCATATTATATTGATTATACTATAGTGTACACCAGAATTTGCTGAGGTTGCCCTGAGAGAATGTCCTTGATGAGCCAGAATGGTGATTTCTTGACTTGTGTTACAACAAGGAGGCTTAGTAGTGCAAAATCACTGTTTGGCATTGTTTGTTTGTTGACAAATCATTCAGTAGACCATGTGATACATTATGTAAGCATTGGTGAGCATCTCACCATCTTTTATGTGTGTTCCCAAGGACTACATCCCCAGCATATCACAAAGTTACATAATTGTCTCAATGAGCTCTCATTTTCATTTGGGTATTTTGTCATCAGTGTCTATCCAAATATTATGCAATATGGCTCATCAGAGAGCCATGACCAGCTGCTTTGATCCATCCACCAACACCTCAGACTCAATAATCATAGTTCACTCACTACACCATGATTGATGAACAACATGCAAACATTGGGACAATTTTGTGAGCCACTGTAGCTTGTTAACATGTCCAGCTTTATGTTCATTACCCCAGACCAGCCTCATGTATTTAACCCCTGCACATACTTCATAGCACCTCAGTCAGAAGATCAATTTAGTATTACCCTCAACTCCATACTACATCCTGAGTCTACTCTATAGCTAAGGCTGAGCCTTAAGCTATCCCTGGCCCCTGTCCCAGACCTCTCCCCAGCTTGCATAAGGGTGCAGCACATAAGCTGAGACCAAGGGAGGTAGATCCAACCCTGGACTGGCTTCCCCTTGTGCACACTCCAAGACCAGTCAGTTTCCCATGCTACCAGCCTTGTTCCTGTGCTCCTGGCCTTAAGTCCAGTCCTCTGGACTTAACCCCTGACCTCCAGCCTTAACTCCAGTCCAACCAGGCTTGGCCCCTGTCTCCTGGCCTTGACTTTGGTCACCCAGACTTAGCCCCTGGCACCCAGTCTTGAAGCCCAGTCACCTGAGGGTGAACCCATACTTGACAAGCCATTCAGGTGTGTGCTGCTGTATGTTGTGCCCATGCCACCAGCTGCCATGCATCCCCTTCAAGTCTAGCTGACTTGGCCACATTGCCAGTGTGTGCTGAGCAATCTCTGCTGGCTTCTGTGACCCTCCAAAGACCTCTGGGGCAGGTGCTGCCAGGTGCCACAGCACATGGCACCATTTCTGCCAGTTGCCACAACTTCCCCATGAATTATGCTGCATGCTGCAGTGTGCCATAATGTGGAATGCCATATCTGCCAGCTGCTACTACTTCTGAATACCTAGTGCTGCATCCCAGTTTGTGGCACTGAATGCCAACCTTTTAAGCTATGCCAATTCTGGTAGTATCTGCAGGGGGTAGGTGTGCTGGGTATGCTGGTAATATTTGCTCCAGAGTAGCTGGCATGCTGCAGTTTGCTTTGGAACATATGCCAAAAAGCTTACCCTGGAGGGCTGTGGCATGCTCCAGAGTGCTCTGTAATGCTATGGTATGTTCTGGCACATGTGCCACAGTTTTCTCTGGAATTTGCTCCAGAGTGTCTGCCATGCCACACTTTGGTTTGGAACATATGCTGCAGCCTATTCTGGAAGGCCATGGCCTGTGCCAGAGTGCTCCAGAACGCTATGGTATGCACTGGCACATGTGCCACAGTTTGCTCTGGAGGGCCATGGCATGCTCTGGCACATGTGCTGCAGTTTACTCCAGAATTTGCTCTGGAGTGGCTGGCATGCCACAGCTTATCCCAGATGGCCATGGCATGCTGCAGCACATGTGCCATGGTTTTCTTTGGAGTGGCAGAAAAAGCAAAAGTAAAAACATATGCTGCAGAGTGGCAAGCCCAAATTTTCATGCTTGACTTTGAGCACCATGGAATTTCGCTGGTTTGCGGCTCATCAGTGGACTATCCAAGCCTATAAATACAGCCCAGTGACTTTAGGGCAGGCTCATTGCTTATCAATGATTGCATCATTGGTGATGTCATAATACTACTAACTGTAGGGTAGACTATCATGTGTGAGAAGGCTGTTAGTGATTGTCCAATAGGGCAAATAGCTCATACATAGCATTTCATTGCCATCCCTGTGACTCCCACAGGTTGTCAATAATAAGGTTCTGCTGTTAAGGTTTGATTTTCAAATGGACCCTTCAGGGTTCAGCTGCAGTTATCCAGGAGAATCTCCACTCCTGCAGGACATCATGTGTATCTTGATTGGCTATGATGAACCCTAAATCAATGACCAGTGTGAGTCAAAGTGTGGTTCAGTGGTGAACACCAACCAAACCAACACAAAAGACACAAAGAGCAAGTGGTGGTGTGCCTATGTGGTACCTAGATGCTGGAACCTTTGATTTGGGTGGGTTTTTGTGAGCTGCAACACTCAAAGATGAGTGCTGAGGGTTGGGGGTGCTCCTGATGAAGAGGGAGCAAGAATGTGATAGAATGCAATGGGGTAGACTGCTGTCAGCCTACAGAAGGATGATTGACAACTTAATTTGAGGTCCTAAGCTGCACTGAGCTCAGGGAGGACTTGGAGTGAAGTGGATTGATGATAGATGATAATAGGTGAAGTAGATGATAGTTAGACCCTTAATAAAGTCTCAACTATCAAAGCTGCTGAATGATTTACTGAGAGATGATGTATTGTGAGCAAGAGGAGCTCTCTGATGTCTTCCTCTTATTTGGCTATCTAAGTACAGTGATTTATATACAGAACAGGAGCATTGCCTATGGAAAACAAGGTGCAGACACTTGGTAAGTGATTGGTAACTGATGAGTAAGGAATGTAAGTGATGGGTAATTGTCTTAGAAAGCATTGGTAAGCATTGGTAATGATAAGTAAGCCA